CTGGAGCGGAGCGCGTTAGTTTTCAAAGACCCACCGCTGCCGGCGACCGCCCTCACTCACCCCCTTGCCGCTGAATACTACGCATTAAGTATTCAGTGAGAAGGGGGAAATTTGGTGGTCACGTGCTTCACTACTTCACTTACTCCGTGGTGGGCTGCGGGGTGGGTACGACGGGCGGGTCGCAGCCCGTCACGTTGGTGGGTAGGCGCGGGTAGGAGATGCGGCCCTCCATGGACATGACCTGCGCCCCCACGGACAGCCAGCTCACGACCAGCAGCGATGTGACGGCGCCCACGATCGCCCCCTGCGCCCACAAAAATAGCCGTTTCATAAAGAAAATAAAGATAGAAAGTTTCTTTTTTTTTTCTCTACTACTCTCCTGCTGCTGCCAAATTTCCATCACAAGGGGACAGGCAGCGGGACGTGGAGCGGCCCAGAGTGCGTAGTGGAGGCTCTGACCTTGTAGTTGGCCCAGGGGTTGAACATGCCGAGGGAGAAGAGCCCAAACTGCGTGCCGGCCGCGATGCCCGTCAGGGTCATGGCCACCTGGATGATGTACTCGACGTTCTGCATCGCCATCATGAGGCCGACGCACACGAAGCCAAAAGCAGCGCACGTCGCCTTGGCGAACACGGCGGCCTGCGTGTCCGTGAGCGAGCGCGATGCGTAGCTGCGCCAGAAGTCGTCCAGGACGACGCCGGCCGTCGAGTTGAGCGACACGGAGATGGAGCTGAGGGCGGCGGCGAACACCCCGGCCATGAAGAGACCCGGCAAGCCGGGCAGCTTGCCCTCCACCCGCATCACGAAGTGCGCCAACAGCTGGTCGCTCGTGCCAACGATCTGAAACATTATTGCCCCTCTGTGACTTGGGCCTGATGGACTTCAATCGCGTTATTTGATCAACACCCGTGGAAACACTCACGCCGGCCGCAAGGGGGTCGCAGTCTTGGAAGTAGGCGTACATGAGCAGGCCGATGTACGTGCAGAAGGTGATGATGCCAACCACTCCGGCAGAGAACACCCACACCGCGCTGTTAACCAAACATATAGGAGCACGCGCATCAGGTGGGAATGTGTGGACGCAAAACAGAAAATACCGGAAAATAGTTTAAGAAAATTGACGGTAATCGGAGTTTTCGTCGAGTAGTTCCCGACTTGCGACTTGGTTTAGCCACAACCCGCCCAGCAGGCACAGCAGCACAGCAGGCGGCGTCTCGGCCTCGGCGGGCGCCCAGCGGGTCGGCAATCGTGGCGGCACGTGGGCAGCGCGGGTCAGCAGCGGTACCCGGCGGGGACAGCGGCGGCGCGTCGGGGACCCGTTACTTAACGTTATTGTCGTTACGTTACAAGTTTCCGGCACGAATTTAAATACGTACCCATAATAATTTTTGTTACGTTACTGTAACGTGACTAAATTGTAGCCATTTACGTTACACAGCATTTGGAGAAATAACGTATTTGATAAAGGAATTCTTTAGCGGTCTTTCAATGCAAGGGGCTCGGCTTATAGCTCATCATGAAATGAACAACCTAGAATATTGGGGAGTATCTCGCAGGGCTACCGAAATAAGTTACATTTTTGTAAAATTACATTCGTTACGTTACCGTTATGAGTTACGTAACGTAACAAATCAATTTTTCGTATTACGGTATACGAGGAACGGAACATGAAACTTTTTTTTCTGTGACGAAAACTTTGTTAGGTTACGGGTCCCTGCGGCGCCGGATCCTCATGAAGCGCCCGGGGCAGAGCACACAAACTCACCGGCGCGCCGTGCGCAGGTTGGGCACGGACAGGTAGCGCTGCACGCACGTCTGATTGACGGAGTTGAACCCCGTCCAGTACATGAATCCGCCGATGACGGCCCCCCAGAGGGTGGTGCGCTGCAGCGGGTCCAGGTCAACGCTGTCGACACGACAGGAAGGGGGTGTGCGCCATTAGTGGGCCCGGGCGGGGGCCGCGAGGGACCTCTCAAACTTTGGTGCAATACTCGTTGTGCCGGCCATAATTACTTGAACAGCTCCAGCCGGCCGCCCTCGTGGGCGGCAGTGAACACGACGCCGAAGCCGCCCACGCTCACGGTGCCCAGGACGAAGATGAGGACCAGCGACAGGCAGAAGATGCACATCTGGATGGCGTCCGTCCACACCACGGCCTTGAGCCCGCCCTGAACAAGCAGACCGGACGGCCGATGAATACGCGATTAGGATATCGAGGGGTTCGGACAAACACGGCAGCAGCGAGTGCACACAGCCGGGGGGGAGGGGGAGGTCCCATCTGGGGGATAGTTCGGAGTGGCTGGCGAAGGGCTGCGTGACGTGGGGGAGGGGGACAGGAAGTGTTGGGCCGGGCCACTAATTGGCAGCGGTTTGAATAGGGGGCCCGGGCGGGCCCTGGGCGCGCTGTTGAAGCACCCGGCTGTGCGCGCGCGTGGCTGCAGCCTACAGCAGTGCGGGGGGCTCACCAGGCCGGTGTACAAGATGCAGACGAGCATGACGGCGGGCGCCGTCCACATCCGGGACAGGGTCGTGACTGCGACACAAGGTAAAGGTTTACAGGTCAGTCGGGGCAACCGCTCGGGCAACCACCTGACGGACGGACACCCATCGCAATAAAAATCGAGACCTGCCCGCCAGCCAGCGCTCGAGCATGTTTGAGTTGCCAAAGATACTTGCCCTGCTCCAGCGCCAGGCACGGCACGTACATGTAAATCGGGATGGTGATGATCTGCAAGGGACGAGTTTATAGTTATGATCATTTAGTACTCTTTGTGGGTAGTTTGGTGACTATGTGTAACAAACGTGGCTGGCTGGGGTCATGTGAACTGTCGTTATGTCGTTATAGGTGAGCCGAGCCGCTGATCGAACTGACCTCATCAAAGATGAAGATGAAGGCGGACACGGTACGCACCGCTCGGTGCCGGAAGCGCACCTGTAAGTACTGTAAAGAGCAAAGGGAGGGAGCAGCATTACCGTGTGGTGTGAATTCATAATGTTTTAAAAAAGAGGGAAAACATTTAATATATTTTTCGCCTTTGTTCCTACCACCTGCCTGTATCTCATACCTCATATGAAGACTTGACGCCCAGCTCGGTGAAAACGGGCAAGAAGAGGTAGTTGATGGCGAACGACATGAAGAAGATACCCAGGATGATGGCATAGTACTGTGTGCCATAGCTGTAGATGTCGCCCGGGGTGCCTAGCAGAGTAATGCCGGAGATGTAGCTGCGAGGACAACCGCAAGGCCATAAAAACATTATCAAATCACGGGACACAATTTTCGAAACCGCCGCCTTTCCGTCGTCTTAGCCGGGAGCGAAAGTGGGTGGGGGTTGGGGAGGGGTGGTTTGGGGTGAATGATGGCCAGCCCCTGGCCCGGGGCGGCAGGCAGGCGGCGCTACAAAGCAGACGCACACTTTCACTGTGAAAATCATCCTCGTAAATTTTCAATATCCTTTGTTTCCAATATTTACAAAATATGTTGTAAATTTATGACAACCTATTCTTGCTCGTCCATGAATTCCAAGCCGATATACGTAATGCTTGCAATTTTACAATTTTGAATTGTAATTTTACGACACGATTCATGAAAATTCTTCTCGTAAAACCTTTCAACTAATTTTCACAGTGTAAAATTTAAGACTTTACGACACTATACAAAGCATACATCTCAATTGCAAAGTGTTTTTTTTTGCAACATATGCAAAGAATTGCATTGCATATGCAAAGTATTGCTTTGTAATTGCAGAGTAATTATGCTTCGTGGAGCAATTCTTCTGAATCCTTCTCACTTTGCAAAGCGTCTGCTTTGTAAAATGTTTCCAGTGTACGGCGGCGCGGGTGACCGCGAGCCAGACGCGCACAGGGTGGTTTCCCAGGCCCTCGCCCAGAGTTATGATAATCCGTGTGTATGCGTGCGGGGCCGGGCGCGGGGAGGACGGGTGGAGGGTGGGGGAATAACTCAGCAGCGTATTGAAGGAGAGGTGAGGAGAGGGATGAAGGCGAGTTTGCAAGAGACAGACGCTACTCCAAATGCAAAAGGAGGTGACAGGCAACTTTGATGGAATAGGGAGCCAATAGCCAATACTTTTGAGGGATTCCGTACATGGTTTCTCAACTACAGTTTATATTTAGGATATTCCGATGAGACGCATACCGTAATCTTCGAAAGAATAGTACGGCAGCCACTTACTTCTCTTCCTATCTTTTGGCTCCGGATTATTCTTCTCAGCTGAATACAACTGAGGCGAAACGATGGACCAATAAGTGATGTTGAACCACAGTCAGACAATGGTCGCTGGTGCTTGGCTTGCATCAAAATTAAACTGGCTGTTGGCTGAGCCATAGCGAAGTCTATCACTTTACACTGTTGACAATAACCTACGAAGTCGTTACTTTGAAACTTCCGGAGAAAATGGATGCGCAGAGCCCCAGCCCGGGCCCTGTTTGCGTGCCTCCCCCGCCCACCGCCGCTCCCCGGGGCCCGGTCTACCCCGGCCCGTCCCGGCGCCCTCACCGCCATCCATTTGAGATTCCCGCCATTGCCCTACATTGGCTAATCCGACGGCATGCCCCCCCCCCCACCTCCTTTCGAGCAAGGGTGAGCCGGCGCGAAATATACAAGGCGGCCATTTGAAACGGCCCCCTTTTTGGCGAATTATTTCTGCCGCTTTCACACGCTTCTCAGGGACAAGGAAAGCGGCTTCCTTGTTGGGAAGCGCAGCGGTTTGGCGGCGGCGGGGCCAGCTGCACAAACACAGGCGCTCGGCGCCGGCGTCGCCTCACTCGTACTCACTGGTGGGGGGCTGGCACTCACCCGCACTCACAGGCGGGAAGGCTGGAACTCACCCGCACTCACAGGCGGGAAGGCTGGCACTCACCCGCACTCACTAGTGGGAGGCTGGCACTCACCCGGCGATGAGGGAGATGGCGACGGGCAGCATGCGCATCTCCTTGTTGCCCAGCAGGTACTCGCCGTCCGTGCTCTGCCGCGAGCCGCAGCAGCCGTAGTACAGCCCCACCAGCAGCGACACGCCCAGCACGAGCACCAGCACGAGGTAGTCGGCCCAGCCGAACAGGTCCTGGTGACGATAGAGTAAACTGTCTAGAAGGACTGTACCAGAGTGCAGAAAAGGCATGGAGGGTATATGCATGGATGAGGAAGATCGTTGTACCGGGTGCAACTGTGAATACGCAGCACGAGGCAGTGTGGCGGGTTTGCCTACCCTTTACACCCGTAAGGGGCCATGGCCCCTGCGGCCATATTGAGTACGCAATCCCGCAACACTGCTATTCACAGTTACATCCGGTACTTTTTTTAATGGGGTGCCCACAAAACTTTGTGTTTAACGCACGTGTACTTAGTACCTCAAAAATGTGTATCTTATACCTTGCTCAGTACACTTCGCATTGGTAAGTACTTGACTAGTGCGTGCCAAGCCATTGTTGTGTCAGTGTTTTGAAGGCGTCACCGTACACTGTAAAAAATATCGTCGTAAATTTGCGATATATTTTTGGATTAATACTTACAAAATAGAGCTGTAAATTTATGACTTCTTAAATTGCTCATCGATGAATTCCAAATCGATACATGGTGATTGTAATTTTCCAATCTGGAATTGTAATTTTACGACTTGTTTCTAGGAAAATTTGCCCGCAAAACCTAAACATTTTTTTTTCACAGTGTACTATGTCGGCTCAATCGTGCACTTTCGAACGCCGTACATCATGGCAAGAATTTCGACATAAAGGATCGTCCAGAAAGTATACGTCCGTTCTTCTCTTCTCAGATTCATTTGGCAAAGGATCGGAGGAGCTCGGCGCCTACGAGACTCAGGGTAGGCCGCTCCGAACTACACGAATGCACAACCGGCGAGATGTTGCCTATCTACCAGGCGCCATGAGAACTTTCAAACCTTTCAAAGTTTGAACTTGGTAGTTTCGTAACAGCGAATGACTGATGTACTTTCTGGATGATTCGGGATGATTATATACGCAACAAAAAGCCAACGGTAGGAGGGCATGCCGAAAAATTCCGCGAACTCCACCATACGGAGTCCTGGAGTTCGCGACCATGACGTTTAATTAGAATAATTCATTTGTGGCCTCAACTTTTACGAAAGTAGAATGACTGTTAGGTTGTCGGGCCACCGATTGACCCGAGAAATATATGACGCCGGGTGGCAAATGGCAACCATAAAAACGATGATATTTATTGTGATTGACTGGTAGTTTCATTGTCGACTGATAAGGATGAGTGTCAGATGCACGGAGTCCCGTATCATAAATCAAGGCTGGAGTCCACTTATCATTGACGGAGACGGAGTAAGGGGTAGGCCCAGTATTCCGCCATTATTTACGAAATACATTTACTTATCGGTTAAAGAAAGGACAAGAGGATGCCTCTTTGTCTTGTTTTTACCCATTCTCTGCCCCCGTCATCATCCTCTTTCGGAGGTGGAAGAACGAGTATTGTGCTCAGAATGGTTTAATTTAGACCAGGGGTTCGCGGCCCGCCCGGCAGCTCGGTGACGTTGACATCGCACTCACTGACGCGTGCACAAGTTCATCTCTCTCTCTCTCTCTCTCTCTCTCTCTCTCTCTCTCTCTCTCACACACACTCACTCTTGACTCGCCCGGGCCGCCATGTGCGCGGGGTGCGCCGGGCGCCGGCTGGATTGTCCAACTCGAGGCAGCAGCTCACACCTGCACGGACGCTTCAGACAGCGTGCAAAAGCGCGTAGTGGCCCGACGCAAAAAGTTAGCCGGGACCCCTGATTTATACTCCACTTTCGGCTCAGATACCAGAGCCCGTACGCATGATAGGTCTTGACCCAGTAACCAATAGAAGATTTTTTTTCACTTGCTGAGTAAGTTTTAGAGAAATTTGAGAATTTTGAAGTAAAAGTCCCTCGCGGGACGATCGTTTCCCGAATCAATCGCAGCCCAGATTTTGAATGGATTCGTTATAGGAGATAAGCATCAGGTTCCGCTTTTATATGAGGGTCCGACTGACTGGCCGACACGATGACCCAGTGAGGAGACAGGTTATTGATGTGTGTCCTGTTGCCCCTTGAGCTTCCGACGGACCCGACTAACTGACACGACGACCCTGTGAGGTAGCTGGATGAGGATGTGTGTCAGTGTCAGCTTATCTTTAATCCGGTCATAAACGCCGTCATAAGCAGTACAGGTAGGAAAGGCAGGTTTAGCAAAGATTTCGTTTCTTCTCAACCTCTGTCCAAGCACGGCAAAAAAAGTATAGAGTTTTTTTTTTCTTTTTAAGTAACCCAGTCCGTATCCGTTGGACCACGTCCTTTCATTTCCCTTTTATATTTTTCCTTTCTGCATCAAGGCACGCCCGAGTGTTTCTCCTCTCGTCGCAGCCATAACGATGCCATCCATATTCTAAAAGCAACAATGGTTAATCATTCCCCAGGCAACCGGTAAGTGTCTACCACCCCCTATGCCCTGTCAAAATTTCGCCGTGCTTTGATGACTTCGGTTATACTCGCTACACGACTGACTGGGGTAAACTGCCAAACATCGCAAAGTAAATGCGTTACTCCGACACCATTTCCTAACGTAGTGTAGTGACTGTAATGTTAAGTTTTTTATTATCGAGAACTGCCAAAATTTATTTTTCCATGAATGTACGGCCAAAATTATGTTTTTAGGCTGTAACCGTGTACCGTAAAAGAAGATTACGGCACACTTGAGCTTAAAATTCACTAGGCCATAGTTAAAGAAAGAATATTCTCTCGCCCGTGTTCTCCTCACCGGCTTCCCTTATCGTCAAAGGTTCTCGCCGAAAACAAATTTACAAAGAGATACCAAACTTTTTAAAGAAAACCAGCCAGCGCCAGCAACGCCGGCGCGTCACTCAAACTAGATGTGAACTGTCTCTCGTTCTGACATTTTCGGCTATTGTCGAGGAAAAAGAGGAGAATCAGACAAAAATATGCAGGCCGAGAGGCCAGACATTGACCGCTCCGCTTATCTCCTACCCCCCCC